AATGAGTGCCTAGGGCAAAATCTGGAAAATGATTTGGGAAATTGGGATTTATGTAAGAGCTTTAAGTCAATCAATGTACTTTGAGAAATGCAATGGACTCTCTTACTGAAATTATTGTCGCTCATAATGACTTGTGTCAGGCCTAAGTCCATAACCTTCCCAATGAAAATATTTGAACCCAATTATAAAATTCCTAGTACTAGATTTGTCACAGCCCAATGTTGGATGTATAAATGAATCTATTTATTGAATAGTCTCTTTATTTTCCTGATGAGAAAACTGAGTCTCAAAGAATATAAGTGCCCAGAGTCAGACGCTAAAGCAGATCCAGGATCAGATCTGAAGTTCTTTCTTCTAACTTCTGGATCTTTCTCAAATTTCTACCCACTTTGTTTGTCTATTTTTCAGGCTTGAAGAATAGAAAGTGAAAAGTGGATATTTTTGAAGCAACAAATCGCTATGACATAGTAAAACTTTTAGGGCCTCTTATTACTGCAACTTCGTGTTCTGGTGAAATACCAAGTGTGGTTCTATATAGAGGCAGAAATTGCAGAGATTTCAATGCCAAAGTCCCCATCTCCAAAGCAAGTGGCTCTAGCTGGAGTGTGTATGTGTGGCAGGGGGGTGCGGGGTGGGGTGATCCTCTTACCTTGAGGCAGCTGCTGTGTGCAGCTCAAGTATCAGCCAGAGCAGCTGCTGAGTTAATCCACCAAATAGGGAGACATTTCTCTGGAAACCCCTGTTCCCTGCATAGCTCCCATTAAGTGGTTTGGGCAAATACTTCCAGGTGAGGCCACTAAGCTGCACTGGGAAGGGAGGAAGCGGAATTGGGAGGGGGCTTTCATTGTTGCTGCTCCCACCTCTATAACAATTTAATTGCCACACATATTCCCAATAAAATGCCCACTGTTCATGGGGAGCAGGTTAGGGGTGGAAGCAGACTGAACCAGAAATGGCCGTAAGAAGGCATGCCCAAAAAACAAGGCCTCACAGAGACTGCTTCCAAGGCAGCCAACCTGTCTCACAGCATCCTTCTCCCAGCTTATTCATGCCTTGTTTTCTGGGGTTGATTAGGACATGGTATAATTCTTTCAAAATGAAATTTAGAATTAACACATGAAAGTAAATCAAAGGTTATTTCTACCAAACACTCTTTACATTGAGAATATAGCAGGACTGGCTTGGAAGGGCAGAAACTGAAAGGATGACCCTGCAGCTAAAGATGAGATTATGCATGAGGGCTTTGCACGGTCTTCTGGGAGGAGTGGCGTGTGGGGAGGTTCCAAGTGCATCCTGCAGAAGCATGGATGGAAACTGGGGCCTTTATGAGTTCAAATTCACCACAGGGCTGAATCCAAACCTTGCTTTTTCTTAGAGAATACCTGTGGGAGCCACAACACTCCTTTGATCTAATAAGAAGTAGTGGTCCTGTTCATCACTGGTAGAGGCAGCTGACGTTTGGTTTTTGCCATGACCAGTTTTTTGCCTGTGTACTTGGGTGAAGAGAGAAGGTATGTGATCAAGTAGAAATTGTTCCACCCCAGAAACCACAGGCAGTAAAATCAAGGGAAGTTTTACTGTGTACTTGGATATGAGGAAAGCACCTGGAAATAGAGCATTGCTTCTGAAAGGTTTGCAGTTCAGCTGTTGGGGGCTGAAGGTAGTTTACAGGTCAGCAAGTGAGCCTGAGATGCTTCTGAGTGTTTAAAGGCAACATTACTCTCTGACATGGGACCACCTGGTAAAGAAAGATAAGACCACTGCTGAATCAAGGAGAACTCTTACCACATCCTAAATGTTCAAGGTAGGACTAGTGATGAAATGTGAAATTCCAACACTCTAACCTTGCACTAGACAAATATGAATCTGGTAAACTGGGTTCTGAAGTGGTGAAGGTGAATCAGGCCTGCAAAAACTTCTCAAAGGCTGGGAATTTGCTACTATAGTGAGGTCTCTATCAACCTGCCCATATCCCACTTCCAGGATCAAAGAATAGTACTCCATCATGAACAGGTGTCTTTCTTTATGTGAAAGGCCACACCAAGAACCATACAGCAAGGTTCTTTGTGATACTGGATGTCAACATTCTCCCTATACCTTCTCTGCCTGCCCCACCCTCCACCCCCCAGGCAGGCATGTGGATGTCAGTATACATGACATGGGCTCAGTGGATGGCAGCCTTGAAGCATGACACTCCTTCTGCAGCCTCAGAGAAGCATTACAAGACATATATGTAGGGACAAAGCCCCAAACCCGAATTCTCAAAATGTAAACAGAACCCTTCAGACAATTATTCAGATCCACAATTAGGTCCTGGTTCCAATAAAGCACGGAGTTTTCTCTCTCACCATTTGTCCCCGAGTCCATGGCCAATACAACCTCCCACTGCTCTTTACCACAGACAATGTCTGGAGGATTTGGGCCCTGAGCAGTCTATAAGAACACTTGGGACAGTCCATGGTGCACAGGTTTCCAGCTGACTGTTGGACATTGTGGGCAGGTCCTGCTCACACAGTTACAGACACACAGAGACCTGTGGAGGCCCCACTGCCATTGCTGAGCTGATGGCTAATGAGGCAGAAAGGAAGTCTGTGATTGGAGCTTCCAGGAGCATCAGTGTCAACCCAGGGAAAAGTCAGTGAGCCAGAAATAGCCAAGGTCTTTCAGCACCATTGACCCTGAACTGCCTCTGAGCTATAGGTACAAGGAGCTGGGTTTCAGGCCCAACAGGGTCATTTACTCAAAAGTACATGGGAGTTGGGATCTTTAAGTATTATTAATTAAACTGAGAACTTTCAAAAGGCTATTAAATTAAGATGTCAGTCCTCAAGCAAACCTCATAACAGCAATCAAGCAAAGGCTTGGCTCTGAGAAGGGTAACTCGGAAATAATACGCAGGGGCTGCTTCATGACTTTATGCCTTGGTTCTTTGGTTTTAATTACTGATGGCTGCTAAGTGCACACTGATCTTTTGGCTGTTAATTCATTCAGGTCTCACATGGGTGCAATCCCCCAGATACTGCTTCACTGAGGGCATCTTTCTCTCAGGGACCTTCTCTCCCAGGAGAAACTCTGTAGAGCCTGAGGGTTCAAAGAGGACCCACCTACCTGCTCACCTACACAGAAACTGCCTAGAACAGCAGCCCACCAGGAGTCACTTGGCCACTTCCTAGACATCTGTGGTGTAAGCAGATAAAATGCTTCTACTTAATCGACGGAAACCTGTATTTTCCCCAGGAGTCCTTTGTCACTCCTTTCTCTACAAGGAGTAGGTCCTCACGGCATTATGGACATTTGAAATTGGCCTCCCCTAATGACCATTCTGGAGGGTTTGCTCCTCCTGGATTACTGAATAATTGCCCACGGAGTCACTGTTCTCAGTCAAGGTTCCCCTCCATGCAGGAATAGATAATGGAGCAATTCTCCTCAGGAAGAGATCTCGAGGTGATTGCATTGTGGGAACTTGAGGCCTCCAGTATAATCTGTGAACAGTGTTTTTTTTTTGGGAAGACTGAGCCTCAAGATTTGGGAAGAAATTCATCTCTGGGCCTACAGAAGAGGAACATTATGGAAGAAACTATGTGAGATGTTAGTCAAGGGAAAAGAAAACATTTCCTACCCATTAAAGCAAAAATCAAGCACTGAATCTGACTCCAGATGTAGTGAAGTATAAGAAAAGCCAAAAGCGCTAGGCAGATTACTAACTCCTGTGAGAAAATAAGAAGAAAGCTTCACTGATATTATCACAAATAGTTATTTTCAACATTATTTCAATGGACTTTTCATTTTGGTTTGAGCCCTACTACAGGCTCTTCATGGGGTAGTGCACTGCTGTTTTCAGAAAACAGCTTCTTGGCACTCAGCTTCTACTACCATGTCTAAGAATTGCCATACATTTTCTAGAAATAATCAGTCTACTGCATCTTTTACCTAAAAACCACCTCAAAAGATTTCCTCACACCAAACGTTTATTTTTGTCACTTTTATCTGTGAAAATAAACATCCAACCGCAAAGCATGTTACTTTTAACATTCCAAAAATCATTTCCTTTTATTATCTCATGGAATTGAGATCTACTTGAGCAGATGCAATCAAGATAATTAGTCACTTTCTGAGTTTTGAAAACATGTTGTTTGTGGTTCATGATCAATCACCTGATGACCCAGGAGCATGGAACTGTAGAGTGCTTTCTGACAGCCTCTTGCCTGGGCAACACTCACACCTCACACATCATTTAAGAATGCTCATGAGTATGGAGTCGCTATGAACATTCTTCCTTGTGAAGAAATTGTAAAAGATTTCTTCTATGGACTCTTTGAGACATGCAAACATCTAACCAATTGTTAGGTGGAAGACATGGACTTCAACTCTCATTATATAAAGAAAGAGTCTCTTGGAAAAAGTCTCTATGGAGGAGCACCTATGCTTTTCTGCTCCCAGGAGCACATGCTTAAGAAGCACAGGTTTAATCAAGCCAAGACTATCTCTGTCTAGCTGTGGCCAGCACACTCCAAGAATCCATGAATCAGAGGTTATGTTCCAGAACAGAATTAAAACTCAATTCAAGTGTGCTCCTTGGGGGTTGCTGGGAATGACACAAAGCAGGGGATTAGTCTTTGCAAGCCCAAGGAGGACACATGGAAGGCTGGGCAAGGGCAAGTGACTGTTGCAAAGGAGGATCAGGGACACAGCCCGTCACTGCAGATGAAGCAGCGCTCAGCAGCATGCCTATGGGCCAGGCTCACTTGCGCCCCTCCCCTGGGAAGCCAGGTGTGAGGTACCATGCACCAGCAGAGTGAACTCAGATTTGTTTTATTTTGTTTTCATTTATGTGGAGCTCAAAATAAGCCAACAATGGGGGATGAGTCGTTTCTGTACTTTTTCCCTGGCTGAGGTTTCTCTCTGCCGTTTTGAAAGCCCTTTTTCTTCTTGCTATGGCCTGTTCCAGTGAGACCCTAAGGGGCGCGGGAAAGCATAGACACAAGTGCATCATCACTAACCTGAGAAGTAGCTGCAGGCGCACTAGTTTCCTTACCACTCACAGCTGCCCTCTCACTCGTTGCGGCTGCTGCCACTTCTGCCTTCTGTACATTCGAATCCTCAGAACCTGGAGGCCCTATTTGCCCCAGACCTTCGCTCCCTGGGGTGCAAGGTGGGTTGGTGGTGGCTTTCCGGGTTTGGCCTTTATACCAACTAGGGTAAAACAAGGGATCCGCAGTTTCCGCTGCTGCAGGGACTGGAGTTTCAGACTCTGTGGTCTGCTGAGAGCCAGTGGGCACAACCTCCCCCTTAATCAGAACAGATAAATTCAAAAGTAAAAAAAAAGAAAAGAAGAAGAAAAAGCAGTCGATTTTAGTTCCCTTTGGGTTTGAACACTGTGCGTTCCCTGCATGCAGCGCCTTGGTGGCTGTTTTAGTTCATCCCACCCTCCAGAAGCGCTAAGAGCAGAATGGTGACCACAGCGTCCCTCTGTCCAGCATCTGGATGTGCGCGCTCTTCTTTTCTGAGCTTGTCTTTCACTCTTTGGGAACCCAGGCAGGCAGAAAGCAGAAATATCAGTGAATATTGCTTATAAAATATCAGATATGGGAAAAGGGTCAAGCTATTGACTAGAATTAATTTGTAGGCATTATGCATGAGTGCCCAAAACCTCTTTATAAAAACCAAAAATTAATCTCATTGATCAAATCCAACCCTCACTCAGTTGCTATCCCTCTTTCAATTTTAGTTCAACTGGAATGCTCAGAATTTAAGGATTCTAGACTATAAATGGCATTTTAGCCTGGTTTACTGTGGAGACAGAGCACAGAAATACAATTCCATCTCCGAGATCCCCCTCTGGGGTTTTGTTTCAATCCACTTCAAAAGCAGGTGCAGAATCAGGACTCCTCTCTGATGAGTCTACACTGCCTGCATACTCAACAGGTTGGGATCCTGTCTGCTGAAGTGTCATGGAGTCCACGCAAAGGCTTGAAAACTGGACGGTGACATCTTTGAAACATGAGGTCAGCTGATTAGGTGCAGCATCTGGGGTGAGCTAATTTCTTAAGGTATGTTTTAAACAATTCTGTCAATATGCAATCTCATCAAATGACAAATCCATAGAAAACCAGGCTTCATTGTTTGCTCACTGAAGGAAAAAATGCAGAAGTTGTATTTCAGGGTAAGCAACAGGAACATAAACTAGTGTAGTTTTTCTGTTTACCTCCTCAATTATCTACCGAAAATTCAAAGTTCTGAAAGTATAATCACTTTTGTTTCTCACCCTATATGATATTTTATTTCTCAACCTATACTCTACATCTACATTCATTAAGTAACAAAGAACAGACCCTGTCCCCATGATTTCAACTCTCTATGAATTAACATGACACACAGACATGGACGGACACACACACACGCACACGCACACACACACACACACACACACACACACACACTTACACACACAATTTCCAGACATAGACTGCCTCAGGTTTGAGGACATTACTGTGGGAAAGTTGTATTAAATTAAGTTTTGTTAACTAACAATAACCACAAAGAACCTGTTTAATCACCTAGAGGACTTTTCTCCCCGACCATCCTGAAATCTTTTGTCTACCACATAAAATGTCTGGCATATAGTTATCTTAAGGGAGAACAGAGTAAACTGTTTAGGCTATTCAGTAAGTAGACATGCCCATGTGCCCTGTAGAAAGGGACTCAGAAGGGGTTACCTGTGTCAAAGGCGCATCCACAGCAGGCGGCAGGGCTGTAGGTGGCTCTGGAGAGGAAACTGGAAGTGTCCCAGGGGCAGCCTGCAGCTCCAGCTGAGAGAGCTCTGAAGATTTTTCTGGGCTTTCCTCTTCTCTTGGAAACTCTGTTTGAACATTTTCTACTTTTTCCACTTCTAGTGCTTCTCCTCCCATTTCTCCTTCTCCTTCTCCGCCTTCTTCTTCTTCTTCATCTTCATCTTCTGGTAAAGTAAGGTAAGGTATCTTTAAAATTGTTGTAACTATCCCTGCAGCCATGGGAACAGTTAATGGCCAGTGCTTATAGCCCCAGTTAAGGTCAGGGTCAGGGAAGTCCTCTCCGACAGACACTTGACAGTGGTCCAAGTGTGCCGTGCCGAGGATTTGTGCTTCTAGTGGAATGTGGACTGGACAAATGTGAAGGAACCATCACCATCCTCCTTGTTCTCCTCCCCAGTACAAAGTCTTCACCCCTGCTGTGCATCATGCTCCTCACCTTCCAGAGCCTGTCCACATTTTTATTACAGTCTGCCACATCTGCAAACTCTTGGAGGGCTGGGATTGTCACTTATTTATCTCTGTCAGATTAAATGGAAGTGCAACTCTCTTCCCTATCTCAGAAGACAAAACCCTTTTCTCATTTTAGCTTTCTACCTCCGTTGTTCAGTGAATACTGACTTTTGCCACAGTAAATGCCATGACTCTTTGCTTTCTCTCTTTTTTTAAGACAGTCTCACTCTGTTGCCCAGGTTGGAGTGCAGTGGTATGATCTAGGCTCACTGCGACCTCCATCTCCTGAGTTCAAGTGATTTTCCTGCCTCTGCCTCTGGAGTAGCTGAGATTACAGGCATGTGCCACCATACACAGCTAATTTTTTTTTTGTACTTTTAGTAGAGATGGGGTTTCACCATGTTGGCCAGGCTGATCTCGAATTCCTGGCCTCAAGTGATCCACCTGCCTTGGCCTCCCAAAGTGCTGGAATGCCGTGACTCTTTTCCTGATCCACTGATCTTAATATTCCCTCAGGTGTCATTAAGAACAGACAATATTAAGTGATTTTTTAAAAAAGATATATCCTGGAGATTTGCCTTTAAAATTTTGTCTGTGGATGTTGTTGCGGCCTTATAGCATTACTAGTGGTCTAGCTGAAGGGTGTGGTCATCTGGATGGCTAGCATGAGTCAAGGTGATCAAACTTTTTGGTCAGCTTCAAGATTATTTCCCTCTTTTCAATTATTTAATCAGGATAAAATTTCAGGAATGGGATTTCTGGGCCGAAAGGTAGGAATGTGTTCATAGCTCATGGAGTATAACTGATCACATAGATCCAGCTTTATGTCCAGGTTGTGACTTATTCTATGAGTTGTTACTGCTCTTGTCCTCTGAAGTTTGATTAAGTTGATATGCTACAATATCTATCCCAGATGCCTCCTATGTATTGTCTTTATCTCAACCTTAACCTTGCTCCTGCTGACACTTTACATCATTGTGGCTAACACTGTGCATAGGATTGAAGTTGAGATACCATCATCACCATCAATTATGAAGCATTTGCCTATCCAGAGTCAAATACCCAACCAGACATTAAAATAGGCACCAGGCTGGGCACGGTGGCTGACACCTGTAATCCCAGCACTTTGGGAGGCTGAGGCAGGTGTATCACCTGAGGTCAGGAGTTCGAGATCAGCCTGGCCAACACGGCAAAATCCCATCTCCCTAAAAATACAAAAATTAGCTGGGAGTGGTGGCGGATTCCTGTAATCCCATCTACTCAGGAGGCTGAGGCAGGAGAATTGCTTGAACCTGGGAGGCGGGGGTGCAGTGAGCTGAGATCATGCCATTGTACTCCAGCCTGGGCGACAGAGTGAGAGTCCAACAAAATAAAAAAAGCCACCATATATTCAAAGTTAAATAATCATTGTCAACAAACGATGCGATCCTGTAATGTAATAGAGCTGAACATTGGATATAATCCTTGTGAAGTTGTAGACATTGATTCTGGAGGTGATTCTGAATCCCCCCTTTCCTCCCATCCAACTTGTCGGCAGCTTTCACACACCTGCAGCTTCGTCTATATGGTCAAAAAAAAATAACAAACCTCTGTAAAAGTCAATTTCACGTATTATCTTTTCTTCCCTATTGAGGTTGACTGTGAAGTGGTTCATGTTCTCATAGCCATGTTCTATTTTCTCCATCTGAAATGCCTTTGATGCTTCGGAGATTCTGCAACAAAGACAAGTTGCCACTTGCTGTCACTGTTTAAAATTGGACAGCCTTGGGTAAAGGTGACAATATGCATTTTTCCATAAAATAAAAAGGTCTTACTTTTGTAGCAGGGTTTTGGCATTCTGTGAAAGCAAACAAAAGATAGTCTTGCTAAATTATTTCCATAGAAGACAGTGGTAAGACAATTATTTCCTTTGCTGACTCTGAGAATCTCATAGCTTAGTTTCTAAATGTCATAAATAACTACCATCTTATACGAAAACCCTCTTAGATTTAAGCAGTATCATAGACATATGTTTTTTTGAGTTGTTTGAATAGATGAATATATGAGCATATGGAATTTATATTTTAGTCGGTAAAAATAAATAAAAAATGAAATGTGCATAAAATAATGAAAATGTGATAACTAATTTTCCAGCACCCACCTTTTGGGTTGTTACCTTGGTGCCAAAAAGAGACTTACCTGCAGAAACACTGCCATTTCTGGCTCATCCATAAACTGAATTCCTGACTCGACCAACTTTGAGACATTCTCCAAATGATCAGAATACTTTTTGATCAGAGCACGAACATGTTCCAGTTTTTCCTCTTGGGTTCGGGTAATGACTTGGGTCATTTCGTTCTTCCTCTCCTCCAAAATGCCATACAGGTAATCAAACTTCTCACAAAGCTCCTGTTTCTGTTTTCTGCAACATTCCTATTCGTTGGGTTAGCTAACGTTAGAAAGTGTTTGAAAGAAAGTCGATTTGGAAAAATCACCTAAACATCTTGGGAAAGAACATTTACTTATGTAGGATATATATATATTTTTTTACCCTGAAAGTGTCCATTTAGGTATGGATACCTATTGTGTTGGTGCTTTGGAAATTCAATTTTAACCAGTTTGACATTTAGACAGTCCAAATATCAATCAAACTGGCTATATGAATCAATGATTTTCCAATCTTCTGTTCTTTATAAATGGAGAATTTCACAGAAATTAGGACTGATTTTCTTTTATATTGTATTTGAGTTACATAGGTTATACTTTGCTTTGAAGTGTGTGTGCATGTGTGTGGGGGTGCAAGGAAAATGCTTAGATACTTCCTGCTTTGTACCCTTAACTCCCTTTCTGTTCCACTTATACCAATATTGTCCTAGTTTCAGTCCTTCTATATAGATTTTGTAGCTTCCCCATGGCCTTTGCATCTAGGATTTCCTCCTCCAAGCCATTCACACACTGCAACCAAGTTAATTTTCCCAGAGTACAGTTCTAATCTCTCTCTTCCCCTTCCTTCCTTCCTTTTCCTTCCTTCCTTCCTTCCTTCCTTCCTTCCTTCCTTCCTTCCTTC